AGGGGGGAAAAAAAAAGCAGGCTGTAGGAACCACAGATTTGCACTGTACCAATTTTAGGTGTATTCTGTCACTAAATATTGAACTGAATTCCATTTAGGTGTATTCTGTCACTTGTGGACTGACCAAATTGGGTGGTAGCTATTGACTCCATTGAGGGTGGTGGGGCCTTGCAGAGACATCTGGACAGGTTGGAAGGCTGGGCATTCACCAAAAATATCAAGTTTAACAAGAGGAAGTGTTGTATTCTGCACCTAGGAAGGGGACAACCCTGGCTATACCTACAGTCTGGGGAATGAGATGCTAGAGAGCAGCCCCATAGAAAAGGATCTGGGAGTTTTGGTTGATAGCAAGCTGACCATGAGCCAGGAGGGCCAGAAATAGCCTGAGGGGCACCAGTCCCAGCACTGCAGCCACCACAATAGGGCACAAGATTTATTAGAGAGCCTCCAAAGGAGGGCTACGAAGGAGGTGAAGGGTCTAGAGGGGAAGGTGTGTGAGGAGCAGCTGAGGTTCCTCAGTTTGTGCAGCCCAGAGCAGAGCAGGCCGAGGGGAGGCCTCATGGCGGCCTGCAGCTCCCTCACTGAGGGGAGCGGAGGGGCAGGCGCTGAGCTCTGCTCTCTGGGGACAGCGACAAGACCCGAGGGGACGGCATGGAGCTGGGACAGGGCAGGGTCAGGCTGGGGGTGAAGGGAAAGGTTCTGCACCCAGAGGTGGTCGGGCACTGGGACAGGCTCCATAGGGCAGTGGTCACAGCACTGAGCCTGCTGGAGTTCAAGAAGTGTTTGGACAACGCTATCAGACACATGGTCTGTGTTTTGGGATGCCCTCTGGGGTCCCAGCAGTTGGAATTGATGATCCTTGCGGGTCCCTGCCAACTCAGGGTATTCTATGAGATTATGAAATAATAACGATGTGAGTCAGGAAGCAAACAAATGGCCAATTGGAGCCTGTTTTGCCAACCCAAATAGTTGCCCCCATCCCAACTGCCTCTTGCTTAATGACTGTATCAAAGGGCACAGGATGCAGATGATGAACTAAACGAACCTCTCTGCTGTTTTGGGACTCCACAAGCCAGAATGATCTATCTGCATCTGGATGTAGGAGGAGAGGTAGACTATGATAAATATGAAACCTTGTAGGACATCTCAACCTGCTTCACTTATACTGGAGTGAATCCAGACCAGCTCTGCTAGTGCCGGTGATGGTACATAATGTAAGACCAGTGTGAAGCTAAAAGGATTACAAAATCATCCAGCGTGAAGATGTTTGGATGAGTATCTGCAGGTTTAAATTGTTAAACCCAAAAGACCTTCATTTCACCTGACTTTCAGCGTGGTAAAACTGGAAAGCACTGTTTTCTTCTGGCTCTGACATTTTGGGGAAAATAAATATCACCTAAATCTAGTGAAGCAGACAGGCTATGTGCTACCCCCTGACACATGCAGTCAGCACCTGGCTGTTATTTCCTGCAACAAGACCCTGATGTCCCTGTGCTCTTGTTTCTGCTATGTATACTAGTGTTGGCAAGTGTGTCTTCTTCAAGTCTGGTTTACAAAAATAAACTTTACCGGTGCCTTTCTGGGACTCAGAGAGCAAATATGTTTCATAGAGTGCTGTGAAATACAGAGAAAACAGAGCAATAGATAAAAATATCCCTCCTGCAGTGCAAAATCCAAAGGTTCAGACTTAGAGCAATGAATGTCCTCACTTTCTCTACCAGCAGAGAGCTTTGACAAGTTGAATTTACGTCTCGCTCTACAAGTTGAAATTGCATACCTAAATTCAGTTTATTGCATGTTTTTCTGCCCAACATTTTACGTGGGATGGTTTGGAGGTTGGAAATCTTCTGCTTTGGGAAGTTCTGCTCAGAGGTTCAGGCAAGGACAGCAACAAGATGGGTCAGCTGAGCTCAGAGAGAACAGAGAGCCTGCCTGATACTGTCTTTTGTTGTCTTTTGTTTCATTTTGTTCTTGCTTTGATTTGTTTTCTGGCATCATGCCATAAGGAATGGGGATCTTGATGACCTTGGATCCCAATCAGACTACCCCTGGCTGGATCAGGATGCATTTTCCATGAGGTAGGGCTGAATTCTTGATTTTTTTTTCCTGGCAGATGAGGCAAGGCATCCTCTGTGACCAGCCACAGAAACATAAAGCAACCCTGTTGTGGTTTCTTGGATAGTCTGATATTGAATTCCCTTGCATGTGTTAGGCCTAGAAAGGTGAGGTGTAGAGACTTTTAAAACAAGTTTTATTTTAATTTTTAAACAGGCAAATTTTTGTGCAGGTATTATCGACACTGAGCACTTGAAAATTCTGATGCTAAAGATCTGCTTTCTGGCCTGTGGACCACATGTGGAACACATCTTACAGTGGCCATTTTGATGTAGAAATTAAATGTAATGCAAATAAGATGTGTTTTTCATGTCCTTCCCAAACTATTAGACCTTTATCAGTCAGGTAAGGTGATAAACTTTCAGCAACATGAGATGAAAATAGGGAAGCTGTCTCCACGTCATTGACTGAATATGTTGTTTTTTCCTCTGTAAGAGCACATTCAAGGATCCTGTTTGCACTCTTGAACGTGGTGGGTATGAACATTCAATGAAGTTTCATAGGGGATTTCAAAATGTGACACACTTTCCTTAAAATGTGTTTTTTTTTTCAAAGACTTTCAGAAACCACAGCCATATTATGACCTTCAAAAGAGTTTTGTTCTAACTTTGAGGGATTTAAAGGCCACAAGAAACTCTTGTTATCATATAATTTGACCAACTGTGTAGCCCAGGTCAATATAAAGAAATAAAAATATTATTCAGTTATTGCGTTATTAAGTTTTTAAAAACTGCATCATAAGTGCAAGGCAAAAAAGAGTCCCACACTTGAAATATCAAGCCGTTGCTTTGCTATTTAAAAAGAAATTGAGAAAAGAAAAAAAAAAAAGAAATCAAAAACTTTCCTGCCCTTCTTTTATAGCTTTTTCTAAAGAGTTTCCTCTCTGTCACCAAATAAAAATAAACTATGGTTTCTCATCTGTGTTATCCAGCAATTTTCTAATGCACACAGCAGTGAGATTTTGCAGGAAGAATAAAACAGGAATTAAACTGGAATTTGTTGCAGAAAATTCAAAGAGAAAAGGGAATTACTTGCTCTTTTGCCAGTAAATGTTTATTTTGAAAAAAAAAAAGTGTATATACAGATATGGATACAATTATATTTCTATGCACATATAAAAGGCAAATTAGAGTTTACCTTTTCCAGTCTTGGTTGTAATTGAAAAAAATGACCTCTAGATGGCAGAAACTCCCTCTTTGTTTTTCTTTCTTTTTTTTTTAAGTACTTTTTTTTTTTTTTTTTTTTTTTTTTTTTTTTTTTTTAGCATTACGGAGGTTTCAGGCCTGGTGCAGGATCACCTAAACTTTATGCTACAGTGAGTTTGCCTGACATATACAACATATCTTATGCCATGCTACAAATGTCTGTCCTCCTAACTACACAAGTCCAAATGCATTCTAGTGGTCATTTAACCTGAGTGAAGCCAGGATGAGACAGAGAGGTGACAGAGACAACACAGAATTTCTTGAACATTCTAGCTGGTATATTTATCAAGAAATTGATTGGTTTGGGGTGTGAAAATTGCTTCCCTGTCTAAAAGTTTAGTAACCAACCTGAGGGGTTGCTTAGCTGTTCCCTGCAGTCCCTGGAGCAAGATGGGTGACTCTTTGAAGACCACTGCTGCCGCCTCACCTTTATATCCTTGCACTGTCTTTTGCTGAAATTTACATCTCCTCACCCTCACTTCTGAAGCTGGGGACCTCACAGTCTGGGGACTGACGGGCTGGTCTGTGAACAAGGAGTTCTGTTATTGCCAGCAGAGGATTGCTGACTGGGCCACATGGCGTGCAACAGGCTTTTACATAACTTCCTTCCCATGATATCAAGACCAAAATACACCTTGTCCTTCCTCTCTCTGAGCTCTGGGTAACAGGCAGGAGTTTTCTTCACCTGTTTTTCCCTCTTTCTATTTTTAATTCCCTTTCTCCACCGCTGTTCCCATCAAGGGTCTCTGGGCCTTGGTAAAAATAATACACTTTTAACTTTGATGTAAAACTTCAAAGTTTGTGGCTGTCTCATACCCTCCAAGAGCATGTCCCATATTAATAGCTAGCTACCAACCCCTGCCTCCCTTCTACGGGAGAGACGGGGAGATCTGAGGGATGTGAGGCAGCAATTTCATTCTGTAAATCAGAGCACATGAATGTAGGAAGCCAAGGACGAAAATCTTGAATAGCCCAGCATTGACCAAAGAATCTGGGGTAACCCTTGGTATTAGTGAGAAGTCTATGTTAAAGCATGAAGTGGCTAAAACATATCAATTAGTAGGTGAATTGGATTGCTGTGATGAATTGTTTTGTCTACTCTGCGATGGGTTGTTGTGGGCTGCACGAAGGTGTCCTCTGCTCACTGGGGAGACAGGAAAGTGCTGGAAGCCAAGAAAAGCTGACTCCATCTCATCTCACCTGCCTTTAGGTCCCCGTGGGTCTGATGAGATCTTTAGGTCTATCTGATTAGGTCTTTAGGCTCCTACTATTGCCTATAAAGACCCAGTAAATGATCCCAGCTAGTGATTCACCTCGCCCTAAATAAGAAGCCTACATTTGGTCCGATGACTCACTTCGCTGACTGTGCTGACTGGGTTTCTGTTGTCGTTATCAGGAGGCCAAACACCTACCTTGGATGTAGGCGTCTGTGCCGTAGACAGGAGCTGCTTGACTCAGCTGCCCACACGCAGGCACCAAGTGCCATCTGAGATGTCCTGCAGCACCTGAGACATCCATAGCCCCTGGCAGGTGGGACATGGGAGAGCTCTGCCTTTGGGGCTTGCTCCTGGAGGCCAGGTGGCACAGCTGCGGGCATCTCTGGTGGTACAAGGTGCTCAGAGATGGAGACCTGAGCTGAAAATGAGGTTTCCAACAGGGAGTCCCCCCCAGGTTGACTGAACAAACCTTCTAGGACACTTAACATGGGAGATACAGCTTTAATTCCCCGTTGTGCCACTGTGTACAAACACCAGAGATGTAAAAAGTGGGTTTAGCTGGGGCATGCTCAGCCTGATATTGATTCTTCCTCCACCTTTCATGTAGCTCTTCAGTGGAACAGGATGGATTGGCTGATGAATGATGTGGCCATCAGGCATGCCTTCTCCTCTCCATCCACTGCTGCTTTTTTCTGGCTGATCAAGTTAAGGTCTAGGGCAGAGAAAAGGTGACAAAATAAGGAGATTCTGAAAAGCCAAGCCAGGCAGATTTTTCAGTGATTGCACTTCCCACATTTCTGTTGTGGGAAGCAGGGATTTGGGCAAAACCAAATCTCATCCACGGATGTCTGATGAGTCAAAGCTGCTTGGACTGAGGTTTGTGAACACTTGTTGTAGAGATGTCTGTGGGTAAAGAGAACCCCACTGATGTGCAAGCTGTATGGCAGAGAGGAGAAGGAGCCTGGGTGAGGTTAGGTTTCACCTGGTCACGTCTAAGTCTTTGACATGCTAATAAAATCCCAAAACCATTAAGAAATAGAAATATGATCTTGAAGGAATCGGTGCCTGAAGCCAAAGGGAAAGAGCAGTGAGATGAGGGGATACAGGACATCATCCTTGAATACAGCAAGTCCCAAATCTGCTGGAGCCAGGAGCACCCTGAAGGACGGGACCTACCTGTGGGGGGGTTGCACCCATTTCTCCTCCATCCTGGAAAACATAAAAGGCTTCATAAAGTGGGATGAGGAGGGAAAGATGTTACTGAGAAACTGATGTAATGAATCCTCTGCCATCGTCTCTGAGGGTCATCACAGCTTGGTGACACTCAAACCAGAGGGAGCTTTTCATGGTCTCAGCAGCCACGTGACACCTCAAGCAGGGACCTTGATAGCTCTGTAAAGTAAAGTGCCCTGAAAACTGCTCAGTTCTTGGCTGGGAAGTTATCAAGCAGCGACAGAGATCACCAGGGGCCAGTTAAAAGACAAAACAAGCCATAATCTGGGCCTTGCACTGAAATACCTCCAAGCAGCTGGCTTCATCAAGAGCAGGTGCTCAGCTGAAAAGCCAGGTCCTTTGAAGAGGGCTTCAGTTTGGCTCTGGAAAACTACAGGCACTTGAGCAATCTTTGCCTGGATGTTATTTCACAGAAAAAAAAAAAAAGAAAAAATAGAGAAAAAAAAAAAACAACTTTGTGTGTGAGCTCTGTGACTGTGCTGCTGCATGGGACAACTCTTGATCTGGGGGCATCATTTAATGGTGGTGGCCAGAGGCTGGTTTCTGTCCTCCCCTGGGACAGGGACTGTTTGGGTCCCAGGGGGTTCTCAGCAACCTCAGACCCCATGGAAAGTGAGCTCGGTGAGGTGTGGGGTAAGTAGGATCAGGATCAGGCCCTACATCTCGTACACCACTCCGTGGCTTGGCACTTTCATCCCAAGAGCCGCCTGTCTGGGGATTTGGAGAATACTGCGGAGATGGAAAAAGGAAGGAATAGAGTTTCACCTTTTATTCTTTTATCTCAACAACAATGCGCGGTGGGAAAAAAAAATAAAAAATAAATGAAGAAGAAGTTGTGAATGGCAGAATTAACAACAATATATGGCCCCCCCATCCCTCCCCCCTCTCCCTCTGCCGTCCATTCAGGCGGCTGACAATAAACAAGGTCATTTGATTCATTCGGCTCGGGGTGTAAACAAGGTCTCACAATAAAACCCCCGCCACGGCCCCCCTTTTTCTCTAAGAATAGATGCTCCCCCCCCCCCCCCCCATGCCGGGGCTCTCCTCCTCCCCCCTCTTTTTTTCTTTTTTTTTTTTTTTTTTTCTCCTCTCCTGTCCCAGCATCCCTGGATCTCAGGGCGTCCAGCCCTGCTGCCACATCCGCAGTCCCCGTCCCAGCTCCGTGAGGCCCCGCTTCCTACTTGCTGTGGGAACCTCGGCTTCCCCGGGCAACATCTGCACACACAGCCCCGCTTTCTCATGCCGGCAGCAACCTGCCCCATGGACAGGCTCTGGACAGAGAGAGAGAGAGAAGAAGAGGGGAAAAAAAAAAAAAAAAGTAAATAAAAATAAACCCAACAATAAAGGGATCTGCATCCCCTCCCCGGCCCGTGGGGAGAGGTTCCCAAAAGCTTGTGGCCAGCTTCCTTGTTTCACAGGCTTTGCTGCTGGAAAACTCTGTGTGTGTGTGTGTTTGTGTGTGTCTATGTGTGTGCACGGCTCTGGGTTGGGTAAGGCAGGGTGTGCAAGGGGCCACGGGTGGCATCAAGTCTGGGATGGAAAATGGGGTCCAGGGAGTGCACGAGCCTCTGTCTGCACGAGCTTGGGTGATGGTTATAGGGTTTTTCTAGACGTGCTGTTGTGTGTTTGTTCCTGGGGGCTGGATGTGGTCCCATGTTGTGGCAGGAGGGTTGTAGCATGGTGGTGGTGGTGGACATGTAGGGTAAGGAGCTTTTTGGTGGGTCTGAACCCGCTGCAGTCCCCTGAAGGCGGGTGGTTTAAATGCTTTCTCCTGGTTGGGGTCTCTTCAGGCTGGGTTCACGCCAAAAGGCAGGCTTGGGAAGGTCTGGGACCTTTCCCACCTCGTGCCTTGCTTAAAATGATTGCTGCAGAGCACTGGGTGGGTGCTGAGCCAGGAATGTATCCCCATATAGCCTGTCCAGTCTGCATCTCCCCTGCCACCTACACATGCTGAGATGCCACTTAGGGGTCCTGCCTGCGTGTTTCTGCCCCAAACGTGGGGATACCTTGCATCAGAGATGTTCATCTGAAGTTCCCTTTGCCCTTGGGCTCCCTTCCAGTGCCTCACAATGGTCCTGAGCCATTGCATGGGGTTGGAAAGGGAGAGCCCAGTGTGCACATGGCCCATAAACCTCATACTTTGGTGCAGATGGAGAGAAATTAGCAGGAACTCTCCTAACCCATCCAGTTTTGCTTTCCATGTCTCAGCAACACAGATGCACTGCTGGATGACAGCTGGCTCAGCTTTTGCTCTCTTGAGACAACCACAAACTTTCTCAACGTGACCTTGAGCAGTCCAGGTCCTCGGGATCACCTTGAGTTCCTTCTCAAAAGCACTGAAATAACACTGGGGCAAGGCACCTTCACTCCCTGTGCCTCATTTTCCTGGTGTTCCTCAGTTTTCTTGGTGTTCAGTGACTCAAAGTGTAAATGTACAAAGTCAGGGGTTGTCTCATGATATTTCTGCATCACCTGGTACGACAGAAAACAGCTCATCTTTTACAAGTTATCTAATATCACAACACTTTTACAATGATGTCTTGAGCTCTGCAATGATAATAAAAATAAAAAAGAACGAATTGTTCTTTCTCAGGGGAGGGAGGTTATTGTCAGAGATGCACAAGCCAGGGGTTATAACAAATAATTCTAACACAAAGTCTATTTTTGTTTGTTTGTTTGTTTGCAATCCAATATTCTCCACGCTGCAAACCTGGCTGCATTTTTACTTCTTGCTCATCCACTGGACCCTTCTACATTTATTTTTTGCTAGAAGGAGACAATGAATGCTGTTTCTTTTCCTGTATTTCCTGGGAGAGAGAGTCACCAGAATACAGCCTGCAAGAGTCTGAGCTGTGAGAGGGAGGAAAACTGTCAGACAAACCATCGGGCAAATGTATTGCAGGAAAATCTAGCCCATGACAATGCACTCTTCCGCTTCAGTTATCAGCTGCACAACATAAATACGACTTTTAGGCAAGGAAAATGCTTCTATGCCTCCCTCTCCCACACACCTGCTCACAGATGAGATAAAAACTCTCATTTCATCTGCTAAAATGTTGGCAGGTGCATTGCAGCCCTCTCCGACTGATCCCCTCCAGAAACACGCCCAACGTAGGCCAGCAAGCCCAGGAGCATCTTGCAGCAGCTTTGTCTCTTCTTTCCAGGAGTGGTTTTGTGGCTGTGTGCTCGCTAATGGGATGGGGAAGACCTGTCTAGCAGCACCGAGGGGCTCGTGTTTTCCTGAAATTGCTGGTGATGTCCCTGGGCAGAGGAAAAGGGAGAGGGATTAGCCTCCGCATAAGACCTCTGTAGCTCTTGGGCAGGAAAAATCAAAAAGGAAATTTAGTAGGGCATCATTTCTGAACTCATGCTACTCAACATAGTATGTAAGATTCACTCAGCATCACTTTCTTGAAATTCAATGTGGCAAAGCGTCATCCCATCAAATGGCAGAAGACTGATAAAAGAACAGTCAGGCAATGGGACAAGATCCTGCCTGCATGTCTTTGGGTTTTTCTGGACTCTATCTGGCTATATAAATACCCAAAGAAAGCCTTCTAAGCTGGAAAATAGCAAAAAGGACAACAAAATCCATTTTTTCCCCAGTTTATTTGAGTAAGATTAATCTAGGTCTGATTTTTCAAGATTCACAGCCTGAATTTTCCACAGGCTGGACACTTGTGTTTGTGGCCTCTCAAAGGGGTGAGGAGAAGGGAGGAAAAATCCTTTTTTGAAGCTGTATGAGGGGATTCATTGCAAGGGCGAAGGAAAATTTCAGCTCGGTCTCTGGGAATTCTTCTAGAGCCAAGAAATCTGCATTGTTGGAAAGAGTCTCCCAGAGGAAGTGATTGAAATATCATCGTGTGAATCATATCTGTAACAAGGTTGGGCTGTAGGAAACAAACCTTTGCTGAACCCTGGGAATAGATTGTAAATGAATGACCTAAAAAGACTTCTTTTCTTTTCTTTTTGTTCTTTTCTTCTTTTCTTCTTTTTCTTTTCTTTTATTTATTTGTTTATCTATCTATTTATTTATTTTTTCCATGCAGGAATGACCTTTAGCAGCCCATGTTAAATGAAGGATCCTGGTTTGGGGGTATCCAGCAGGGCTGGGCTGTCCCACCACATTACTTGCCACTAACTGTGCTGCATGAGGTCCTCAAGGACAGCTGTGGGATGGTCCTCCTGCTATTTAGAGAGGGCTGAGCCTCCCCAAAGGATTAAAAGATGAGCATAGAGGTGATAAAAACTGTGCATGGGGTATTCTCGTGGTGTTCTTGTGTAGTGTTGGCTGAGAAGAGCCATGGTTGGAGACCTGGCTCCATCAGGGACATGGGGACAGAAAGCACATGGGAGGTCGAGGATGGCAGGTGCGCTTGGGACCTGCTCTGGGGATAGTTGGTAGCCTGTACAGGGTTGGAAGAATAAGTTTTGGGGAAGTGAAGAGTGTGCTCTGGGCTGGGCCGTGACACAACATCTCTGGGAGAAAATGTAGCCATGAACTCATTTGGGATCTGGACTGCAAGTCTTGCTTAGGGCTGAGCAGGAGTTAATTCCAGACATGCTTTCCATCATGCGTTTTGCTCGATGTTATTACTTCCACCATAATTTCCCTGTCACCTCCATCAAGACTTTTGTGTCAGGGACTATGTACACGGACAGCAAAAAGACAGTCTGCTCCAAAGAGCTTAAAATCCCCACGTGTCTTGCATGAAGCTACTGAAACGGTTCACAAATACCTGAGGAAGTTATCAGATACCCCACCGACCTTTCTATCCATCTTAGGAGGTGGAGAGAAGAAAGCAAAACCCACCTAAACTGCTGTTTATTATCTAGCTTTAACAAATATCTACATTTTCAGTAGTTGCTTCACCCTGCCAGACATTTCTACTCTGCTTCAACTCAGTCCTGCTGAAGCAAACATTAACGGCTCATCCAATTGCCTATATTTAACTCCCCAAATCTGGCACAGATTTACACCAGCACTGGTAACAATGGCACTGAACACCTGTCTGTGACTGCATTTGCCCAGGGATTCACTTCGTTCCATGCTGTGTGTTTAATAATTCCTGCGAACAATGGGACAAATAAACATATTTTTACCGAGCTCTTACTCAAGCCAACGCCACCGTCCAAATTGTACATGAGAGGCCTGCAGAGGCTGGTGGTTGTTTCCTAGACTTGTTGCCTCTTTCCCTCAGAAACGACGCTGTCAGCAGCTCTGTGCTCAGAGAGGGCATTTACCGCTTGTATGTAAGGAAGGAAGAAGGAAGAATGAGCAGGAAAGGGGCAGCCGTGCAGGGCTCTGAAGGCAAGGATGATAAATGTGAACTTGAAGCTCTGGAGGACAGGGACGTCTTCTAAGACAGGCCGACGTGGTCTGAGCAAAAAGGATGGGAGATGGCTGTAGTGCATGGCCGGGGATGGAATAAAGAAGGGTTGCAGGAGTTGGTGTAGGTGGTGGGAGCTGTTGGTGGTTGAGTAGAGGGTATATAACACATTACAGCTGTGTGGTGGAAGAAGACGTAGGAATGAGGGTGGGCAGGGTTGGTGAAGGCTGGCAGTCCTGTCTTTGGGTGGGGAAATGATTGCAAGGCTGTGTCTGACAAGGAGAAGTTGGCTTCACCTGGTGTCATCTCCCAGGGGAAGGCAACTGGAGAGCTGTTGAGAGCAGAAAGGACTGACTCTGTGCCCAGCATGGGCTGCTGCATGTTATAAGGGCCACATAGCAATTTAATCCTCTAACTAATGGTTTTCCAGGTATCAAACAGTGCTTAATGTTTCCTCTCCAGGAAGATGGGCCTTGCCTTGTGTGGTTGAGAAGCTCCATCCCCCCACTTGCAGCTAGCGTCTTGCTGGAAATGTGTGGATGCACAAGAGTGGGTGGCTCAGCAGGACAGATGGGTGGTTTGGTTACAGTGAAAATTTAGGGCTTTCAAGCCTCAAATACACAGGGAAACCTTCTGACCCGAGTGCTGTGCTCAGCCCCTTCTACCTGTCACATCTGGGAAGGGATCTACCACACAAGCTTGGAGAAGCGTTGCTGTTGACCATGAGCTTGACAGTGGTCAAGGGGACAAATTTACCTTCACTCAGATCAGCTGAACTCTGGGTTTACAAAAAAAATAAAAAATAAAATAGTAATTAAAAAAAAATTGGCAGGCTGTGTCTGTCCAGAGTCTGAATGAATAGAAACTCTGAAGGAAGCACCTGCTGCTAAAGGAAATCCAGGACAAGTTTTATTATCCTTTTTCACAGGTCTATTCAGGACTACATTAGGGGTTTCCTCTTTCCTTTTCTGGTACTTCACACTCATTCACAACAAAAAACATATTGTGCTTATGAATTATATTCCAGAGAATATAGCTGGAGCTTATAAAGGCCCTGGCCAAAGAACTTTATTTTTAACTTTACTCCCTGGTGAATTAATTTCTCAAATGAAAGCTTTGCAATTGTTTGGGGTTATTTTTCTTTCTCTCTCTTTTTTTTTTTTTTTTTTTTTTTTTTTTCTTGGACGGGGCACAAGGGCAAATCCTGCCTGCTCTGTGTTCACAAAAAATGCCTCTCAAGGAATGAGGAGCAAAGGAGGTAAGTGGGGCTCTCAGTGGCTACAGGGAACAAATGGAAAACATTCGTGCAATCCCTCCTAAACCAGCAAAGTATCAGAAGGCCTCCTATTAATGTTGCTTGCTGAAGCCTAAGGCACTTTTTCTATTTCAAACATGCAATAGATGCACAGCAGGAGAAGGAGAGGGAAACCCCCACTGGCTGCTGAAGGAGGTGCAAAGAGCTCCTTTGGGATTTGATCCTGAGACCATTTGAGCCAGCGATGAGGGACCCAGGAGGGACCAAGGAGTTTGCTTACCAAACACAGCTGCTCAGCTCAACATCTTCCAGGCACAAAGCACATAAACTGAAGGGCTTGCAAACAAACCGAGTGTAACACATAAGCCACTTGTGAACCAACGTGTTTGCTTTAGTGGGTCACTCTGCACCTGTGCAAGATGGATATGACCCAAACCCTGAGTACCCTGGCAAGACTTTACACCCTTTTGCACCAACAAATCCTTTTCTCATTTTCCTTCCTTAAAAACATTCACTTTTTAGTTTTAAATGCTCTTGTCCATCCCCCTGCCTCCATGCCATCAGGAGGTGATGGCCCTGAATGTACCCTGGTGTTGCTGCCACCTTTGCCTGCCCCTGTGGGTGCTGGTTCTGCTTCTCACGTTCCTTGGATAAAACCTGCTCTGCTTTTGAGCAGCATCCAGCACAAGGGTTTCTTGTTCAGCCCGCGGCTCCTTGTTGCTACTGCAGCGGAAATAGTAAATTATAGCAATTAACAGTGGCATAAATCAGAATCTGTGACCAGACAAGGTCACCAAGGGCTTGAGGGCTGCATCATACCAGTAAATTACCCCAGACAGGAATTCCTTCATCTGCACTGCTAAATCGTTTGAGTGTTTCTTGACATGGTTTTGGCCCAGGCTGCAGCTGCACTGACCCCAGGAGCAGATCAAGCAACATCAGCACAGGCCAGTGATCAGCTGGGCAGTTTGGGGGGGCCTTGCCTGAGGGGTTAGAGGACAACCAACATCGGGGCATGACCAAGCAGCAAGGTCTGGCACTGAATAGTGAAGATGCAGACCATTATTAATGAGTATGAGGCCGTTTGTAGTGGGTGTGTTACCCCAGAGGTAACTATATGGGGAGAATATGCACCAGATCCCAGATTGGCGTTGCAGTTTTCACTGCACTTGATGATCTCCACATTTTTTCACTTGCAAGGTATTTTAAGGTTTTACCTCAGGGTCAAGCTGTTGTTTTTTTTTGTGATTTCCAAGTGGTGCCCTAGCAGCAGATTCAGTCACCTGCAAGTTGCAGCCTGGAAGCCCTGAAACTCCTCACTGCAGGATGTTAAAACACGGGGGGCTTCTCTTTCCCCTGGGAGGGATTTTTCTCTTTCTCTCTTTGGTTTTCAAGAGTTTTCTGAGTGTTCTTGTTTGCTTTATCACATGGCAGGAATATTTCCAGATGTCACTTGATACCTTGTAATAAGAACACCGAACACAGATGAATGTATAGTTCATTTTCTACATTGATGAGCTGTGGTACTCCTACCATAAGGCAGCTCCACTGTTTTGGAAAATAATGAAATGTAATAACCAAAGCAAATGTCTAATTTGCATCTTATCCAGTCAGGCTGGGAAATAAGTTCAAATCTTAGCTGCTTCTGACATGTTGCCCTGTATTAATATTTCCATTTTTGGCAGCCTGGACTTGGGCAGCCAGTGAGTCCCTCTTGTCCTTGCAGGGTCCTTCCTGGCTGCCTCCTTTACCACCTCTTCTCCTTTCCAGTGTTCACACATCACCATTCTTTACACCTTTATTCTTTTCCCATCTCTGAACCGGTCACCCAGGAACATCTGTGATGATGCAGGATATTTCTGGAGTCAGATGTGGTCCTGCACCCATGTTTGACCACCACCTATGGATGGGATGGTGCAGACACAAATTAGGGCCATCAGATGCTGCCTCAACACATGGGGAAAACCAAGTACCTGCTGGAGGGAACCCCTGATTAGCTAGAAACTCAGCTAGCAGTCAGATATATCACACTGGGAGAAATATAACCTAGGAGATTTGTGGCTAGTAATAATTATTCTCTAAGAGGAAAGACGCTTCAATAAAAAGATTTGCAGCCTGGGCTGTTTCCTGCCCTAAATGTATAAGTCAAAAGCATCAGTAATCAGTCTCTCCACACCTAAGGCATCCATAATTTCTGTGTTCTTCAGGCACCTCGAATTTCTCCAGCACCATTCTTCTGGTGCTTGGTTTCTGCATGAAATGCCTGCATGGTTTGTCCACTACCATCCTGGCAAGCCTTGCTAACAAGGTATTCCCCACCTATCCCACTCAGTGTGGGGCCTGAAATACTGGTCTCCTCAAAACACATCCTGACCTGAAAAAGGCCTTAGCAAAGCATGGTTGCTCGCATTCCCACATCCCTCTGGAACAGAAGTGATGGGTCATACACACCACAGGCCCAAATGGCACTAACAACTATGTTAAAGTAACTGAGTCTTTCCCCTAGTCTGGAGCTGAATCTCACCCACAGACATCGTTCCCTTCCATCCCACCATCCTCTTAACCAAGAGCTGGAAATGTGATAGTATAGAGCATCTGTTTTACATGGCTCCCCTGTTTCTCAGCCACTTTTACATCTTATATATTAATGACAGTGGGTGTGGGGAAAATAAAGCACTGGAGATCTTCATTTTACACCAGACAGTCGTAGTACAAATAAAAATATTTTTAAAAGTAAGAAGACAGAGCTATCATGACAAATATAGCTCTTTGTACACCTCTCTGCCAAAGGGAGGTTGAGACCCACACCTCTCTCCATCTGACCCCATGCTCAGCAGTCCTTCTGCAACAGGGTTTTGTCACCAGCCCAGGCAAAGCAGCACAGTGTGAGCATCAGGGAAAAGTGCCCTGATATCAGACCCCAGCTCCCTAGACTGCCTGGCCTTGTGGTGATGTGCCAGAGGTGCTTCAACCCTCAGGGCACACAAGTTACCCCCTGGACAAGTGTCTGGCCGTGGAGCTATTGTTTGGAGGAGAGGGTGTGCCTCCTCCAGCTGTGCTCTCAAAGAAAACAATGGTCCTTGCTTCCCTCCAGAGAGACAGGGCACAGGCACTGCAGCTGGTGGGGGTCTTAGGCTGTGCATCCCCGTCTCATATCAGCTCTCTTCAGCTCTTTTGGGGTCACTGGGATGGGTTCTTGCCTTGGTGTTGCCAATGAGTGCTGGCTATGTGTGCCTCAGTCACCAAGAAATCCTCCTTGAGACAGATCGCTCTCCCAAAGCATGGCAGAAAGAATTTGAATACCTTCAGAAGCTGCAAAATTAGTGCTACCTCTAGTCTGGTATTGCATATGGGAGGCAGCTTCCCTGTGCCCAGTTTGCATGGTATGATGTCCATCCACCTTCATGTCTCCTCCTAGAGCTGCTCTGCTGGGATGGGGACACTGGTTTCAAAGGAGGCTTTGAAGGAAGCCTCTTTGTGAGCAGCAGAGACAGAGGCTAAAGGAACCGAACTGTAAGCTCAAGAAGTGCTTCAAAATTTTCCATACTACAGAGCATCTCCTTGTCTTTACGAAGTTTTCTACCAGCTAGGGAGAGCCTGTCATTTCTTTGAAAGCTGAAAGAGGAGGATTTGGCTGTCTCACTTCTGTCTTTGCGTATCCAAAGGGGGTATCCAAAAAGCTGTGAGCACACACCAGCTAAGACTTTCCTACTTTCTGGTAGCAGCCCAGTGGAGATGCTCCACTGAAGTCTGCTGGAGTTTGTGGAGGGGCTGGCAAATGGCTGAAGCCCTTATAAAATAGAGGAGCTGGGTAACAATTAAGGATATTCCCCTCTTTTAATTTGCAGACATTTTTATGATGAGGGACAAGTCTGCAACCTGTGATTACTATTTTACTATTATCTGATATTTCTTCTGCAGCCTCCACAGAGGGGGTCAGAGCACCACCGTGGTGGGGGCTGTATGGAGCCAGGGAGGAAAATAGGCAGCATCCATTACCAAGGTCAAGGAAGGGGGAAGAGGTTCCCACTATTTTCTGTTTGGCTTCTGGAATTGAATTCAGATCAAGGAGGTGAATGTGGGGACAAGCTCGATGAGTTCAGCAGCTGTGGCATTGAAAGGCAGGGACCATAAATGGCAGGAGGAAGGGAAACCCAGTAAACAGTTTTCAGGATTCAACCGAGCATTGCCTCTGAACTACAAAGACCTGCTAGAAAGTGGTATCAAACACCCAGCTCCTGCTTTGACCCCTGCCTGAGGGGAAGTGAATCAATGTTGGGAAAGCAGGATGAGATTATCTACTGTATAAAAGAAACTGGAGGAGATGGCTTGGGATATTTGTGTATTGAGACTCTTTCCATGTCCTATTCCTTTATGGGGGGGTGCTATTGTACCTATTGTGGCAGATCTTTATCGGCCCTGTTTATCACGTTGGGTGCGGGGAATGTCAGATTGCTGAATGTCAGGTTGCTGGCTGTTTTCATAACAGGAAGCTGCCTGCTGTCTTGCTGTGTTAAGGAACTCCCGCATGCACAACATTTTCCAAAACAGCAAAAAAAAAATATCTAAACACTCTGCTGTGGTTGGGTGGCTGCACGGATTCAAGTTTCTATTGTTCCTTGTAAGGCAAAATCCTGTATAGATAAATACACTTGATACACATATGCCTGCTACTTCTTTTGTCTAAAGATACAGGAAATATGGCCGTTGTTTTGTCACGATGAAATATTTCCCAAAGCTAAAACTTAATCT